ACATCAATTTTGTTAAAACAGTCTTAAATTTCCGCGATGCAAGATTAAGAAGCATTATTATTTTTATTATTTTTATTTATTTGGAATTTATCTTATTATTAAAATGACAATAACTAAATTTGCTGACAAAAACATTGATATTGGTGTACAATGGGGAATACTTTTCTGTGATGAAGGTGAATCAATAGAATCGAAAGGGGAGATCTAACTGTTTAGTCTCCTACATTATTGAATATTGTTCAGCAGTTAGTTTGCTGATGGTTCTCGAATCGAAAAAGGCAACGACTACTAAATTCTTCTATAATTTATTTTACAGTGGAGATTTTGAAGTCTCGACGAAGAATGTCACCTTTAATATGAAATGCTACACCCACTAAAAAGAACTTTTGAAGGGCTTGAATTACTTTACAATATGAACCAGATGAGCTCGAATTAAATACGATCAAAGCGGTTTGAGTATTGCCTAATGTTTAGCATAAGCAGCTTGTTCTTTAGACAAACCTTAACCTCAGCTGCATTCTCTTGTGTTTTTTTTTTAAATTTCGATGACAAATTATTTTCTCAGGCACTTTTTAAACTCTGAAGCCCTAATAAAATATACCCTTAGTTTGTCGAGAAGTTTATTATACCCAGAAGGAAACGTTGGCTATTTATATTAAATATAGCCCATTTTGCCATGTCCATATATATGTATATACACGAACTAACCACTAAATTTTTGAGATATCACTCTGAAATTTTTCACAAATCTTTTTCACTCAAAGAAACTGCTCAATTTTTGGAACTGTCTATCATATAAACGGAATTATCAAAATTCGAAATGAAGCTCTTCAAGAATCTTTTGTATTTATGAAAGGTATTTCGTCTTCGGTTAACGTTTTTACTTTCTTTTTTAATTTGCTCCTATAACTATCAACTGTTTACAACCCTGAATAATTGACATAGTGAGAAAAGCGCCAAATGGAGGAGATCATAAAAAATAATTTTGTAGAACAGAACGAAAACGTTTAATTAAAGTAACTTTCCCAAAATAAAATATTTTTTTAAAACTGTGAACTTTTCAATTATATTTAAGTATATTAGTACATATTATGATTAAAGGTATTCGTTTGCAACATTGGTTCACTCCATATTCGTTTTGGACTAGTTAAAAACAGTTACAAGTTGTTTGTTCACACAAATGATGAGAAAAATTCTCAATCTCCTGATTTCTCACCACCTCTACTCAAAGTCTCCCAGCGCAGCTTATCAACTGCTATGGAAACCGTTACTCTTCTTTCCACAAACTAAAAAAAATTTTTTATCAAAATTTAAATTGTTATTATTCCATTTGATACTAAATTATATGCTCACACACTTGTAGATACAGAAGTTGTAGGGCCTTAATCTTATAATCAATGTACAAAGTACTTACTTAAACTCAAATATTGCCAAGATGATAACCACATGCATAAATACATATATATGCATCTAGTATACGCCACGCATACATTTTAAGTTCTGATAATTTACTACATCAATATAATTCAAACAACAATAACAACCTTTCGCACCACCTCGCCACGCATACATTTTAAGTTCTGATAATTTACTACATCAATATAATTCAAACAACAATAATAACCTTTCGCACCACCTTCTTCGGATGCAAAGAAGCTCATTAATATTTGACAAACTATAAAACCACGAGGTTAGCAATTCGACTGATATTTCCTTTAGATTTTATTCACACCTTTATATGTCATTTATTTTTCTTGTTTAAATGATCATTTCGTTTTCTATCCGAAAAACCCATTAGTGATAAAGAATAATTCAGAAGCACTGATGGAAGCTATAGGAAGCTCCACTTTTATATCAATCATAAATCAATCATGCATCACAAACTTGATCTACGACAATCTCAACAAGTACTATATAATCCTCGTAGCACTTCAAGAATTAAATTACTTACAAGAGTTCAATTAGGAAACGTTGCTTTCCGCTAATGCTTAATTTGACGATTATAAAAATATAGAGTATTATTATATATTTATCTATAAGTACCTACAACCTCAATTGGTATTGATATAAGAAAGATAACTTTATCGCAACAACCTATATTTTGAATCTGATCTGGAAGCACTTGGTAATGGGGCACAGTTTTGCTAATTTTTTATTTCATTAATAAAAATAATTCCTAGTCATTGCAAGCTGATTATATATGTATACGAATACACTTCAAAGGAGAGTATTCTTTAATACCTCTTTTGTACACGCGTTGCGTTCGTATGGTAACCTAGTAGTAAAATCAATTCGGTCTGATATGTGGCATTGATGCTTTACCTATTGTTCTTCCAGATTCCACAGCGATACCCGTAAACTGAGGAAGGAGTTGCTAACCGTAAGTCTCTCAGATAAGAAAAGAAAGTCGAGTGGCAATATCGAACTGGGTGATCATGTATCCTGGTTTCGAAAATGTAATGATCCAAGTCGATGTTTTGTATACATCTTTTACACGAGCAGGATTTAGCTCTTCGCTTTTGTATTCGGAGAAAACCATAAAGCTCGTTGTATATTCTTGTGCTGAAAACTGCTGTTTTCTGTTTTAGGGGTTGGAGTTTAAATTTTGTAACATTTTCAAAAAAGAAAATTCTATAGAAAGTTTTCTCTTCATCAGAAAATAAAATTGCACACCTTAATATAGTTGACAAATATTTCAAGCGCGTATAACATGCATACTTATATATTTTTCTAGGAAAAGCTTACATTTGAAGAGCTTTCTGTGCTCCATAAGTCCATATTGGTTTCAGCACTGGCTTGAGAAAACTTTCTGTTAGAAATATATACAGTGAAATTCCCTATTACAAACAACCCTTATAACCGGACACCTCCCAAAAGCGGTCACGTTTCATGACACAACGTTTTCATTAATATTTGCATACAAAATCAATTCCTATAACCGGAAAATTTTATACAATTTAGCTTCCGTTTTTTAATTCTTGGAATGATAGTCATTCATTCACTCCTACCTAACATTGGTTCGCATTTATTAGCTTAGTAGAAATACAGTTCTGAGTTTCAGCTTCTGACTTCAAGAATACATTTTAAACACACGTTTTTGCCACGCCTCCATATGTGGACAGCTCCCATGCTCCTACTGCTGGAACAGAAGTACAAGAATTTCAAATTAGTCTTTATTTTCATTCATAAGTCCTAAGTACTAATCATGCAAACCACTTTGATTGTTTTTAAATAAATTTAACTGAATATATCACAAAAGCTTAAAAAGCTTAGTGGAAATATTACGAATAGTCTATAAAAGTAGCACTCTGTAGGTATTCCGTTACCTACGATATTTACGTCAAACGAAATTACAGTTTTATAGGACTTATACGATATATAATAAACGATATACCTTAATTACGATAATACCGAACGAAAATGGTCGAAATGTTAACGGAACTAAGCTATTCATATTCCATAAAAATATTTTTAAGTTGAGAGGAAAAATTTCGGCCAAAAGCTTATTAACTCATATCGTCTCAAAAGTAAACTTAATATTTAAACAAAAAAGTAAAAGCTAAACTAATTTAACGCTAAGAACTTAATCGACATGCCAAAAAATAGGAAGACGCAAATAATATGTACAGATATACTTTTAAACTGTTTGCCCACTATTGCGGTTATCTCCAGCTATGAATGAAAAATTGGCAAAATCGAGTATATATCTATGTAGACTCGCCTTGAAGTTATTTAATTCCTTGACCGATTTTTTTGACCTCATTCCATTCATGAGATGTTCTTTTGACATTTCTCTTCAGTAAGGTTAGCCATTTCATCATGGAAAGATATACGATCCAACAAAGAATCGAAATTATTAAAATTTACTACCGGTATTCGAAGTCAGTTGCCTCAACTTTAAGAGCACTACGTCCAATTCATGGTCGTCATAATCGTCCTGAAATCCACAGGCACGGTACAAAATGTTCCATGCTAGTGAGACAAAGAAATACACGTAGTATCAATTGAGAAAGACCCAAATTAGTCTCTCACACGTCATTCTCAAGTGTTGGGCATCTCTGTTACGTCGTTGTAGCGAATTTTGCGAAAAGATCTTGGCCTACACCCAAAAAATATGTGGTATGTTTGTGAATCAGGCTAAGCAACAACTTGAAAATGAGCCTGGTATTCATCGAAAAATCATCATTACGATGAGGCTCATTTTTGGGTGAATGGTTGGTTTATTGGCCGGGGGCGTCATTGGGCCGTACTTCTTCAGTGACGAACAAGAGCGGCACATTACTGTGAAAGAGAATCGCTACCGTTCGGATGATATGGACTTGGACAAAATGTGGTTCTAACAGGACGGCGCCACAAGCCACACAGTGAATGTCACAATCGATTTATTGAAAACCAAGTATTTTGAAATGGCCCAGCCAATTGGGCGCCTCGGTCGTATAATTTGACACATTTAGACTATTTCCTGTGGAGCTAAGTGAAGTCTATAGTCTATGCCAATAAGTGTGCGCCGATTGATGAACTTCGTACGAATAAAACGTAACGTAAAATTGCAGCAGTATCGGTCGACTTATGCTTGAAAGCCGTCGAAAATTGGGTTCAGACTTTCTTCTGGACTTCTGCAAGCGTTCCCATGATGGCCATGCAAAAGAAATCGAGTTCAATACACAATGGTATCCCAAATCGTTTTATTTAAACAAACATTTGTAGCGCTCTTATTGAAAACTCCGTTACTTTACTTTTTCGAAGTTATCGACTTTTCAAGAGTGAATACACATGGCATGATTTTAACGTCTCCGAAGTTCCAAATCAGACCCCTATTTTATATTTTTCCAATGAAACTGGAAAACAACTGGTTTTTCCGCTTTTCTTGTGGTCTTGTGGTGACGAATAAAAGTACTACAAATGTTCACCTTATTATAGATTTTTATAGATATGTATATGTATATCAGGTAAAAAATTTATAAATAGATAACTAAGGTTAACAAATAAAAGACATCTTGTCATTCAATTTAAAAATAAATTCGATGTATTTATTGGGTAAAGTTAATTGTTCATTGCTTATTCATAAGGTATTCGAGACGTTATGTGAGGTTAGAAACGCTGTTAAAGCTCATTGGAGTCGAAGATGTCGTTGCTTTCCAAAATTTGCTTCCTAAGGTCTTCAAACGAAGGCGTGGCCTATTACATAAGTAAAAATAAATGAAGTAGACAAAAATATATAAAGTCAAAAATTATTTATAGAAAAGTATAGGGGTTTTAGATTAGTAATATTTATAATATAAAGAGTGAGATTAATTTTGAAGTATAAGAAAAATTATAATCTACGTGTAAGGAATGAATATTTCGTGAGTTACTACAGTTCGATATAGAATTAATAAAATATTTAGGATAAGTACATATGTATATATTATTTATTCTTTTTTGTAACCATGAGTGTACTAATGTGAATGTTTGTTTGTAAATTTGGGAAAAAAACTTGTTAAAAAATATGAATATTGAAGTTATTTCAGGCTAATTGCTACTGACCTGCCAGTAATTAGCTTCCCAGGTCGGGAACATGCGAGTGAAGGCGCGAGGTTCGTGGCTCTGCTCAATGCGTATGACAGTGGTAGTATCGATTGTGCGTTCTGTGGGCTCATCCTTAATATATTTCTAAAATAAAAATAAAAAATATTTAAATAAAGCTAAAATATAAACTCCTTTCAAGTTATAGTATAGAAACCTTTGCCAAATCGAGAATTCTGCCGTTTTCCTCGGCTGTGGCGCCTGTGCCGACCCACATATAGACTTCATCACCGGCATCCAATAGCATAATGTCATTTGTGTCCAGATCCTTTATACATAAGATGAAAGAAATAATAATTTTGAAAGTAAAAACTAATTAAGAGATTATCTAGAAACACCTACAGCTTGTTCGAAGTGTGCAATCTCCTCCACCTGCAAGCGTTCGCCATTCAAACGGCAGTGGAATAGCCTTGGCTCTAGGAGAGGCTTAGTGGCCTCATTCATGCTGCGATCGTAGATGCCCTCACCGTGCAAAAGCTCCCAAAAGTTATCGGGTTCAGCGCCCTCCTCAACCACTTCGACAACAGCATCAGACCAATACTTTGAAAAACGCTCGATGGCCATATCCTTCTCGAACTTGCTAGCGGCCTGCATTTTTGCAACAATTTAATTAAAATTGTAAATTATGAATATCAAAAAAGGTGTAATATTTACCAAGCCAACCCATATATAGACCTTATGCGGGTTCATTGTAGTCAAAGCAAAGACATCATTTGAGGCTAGTGACGATGAGTCCGCTACCACTTCGCTAGCATGCACATCGCTGGCATCAGTGCCGCGTATGCGATATAGTTGTGGATGGATCGGTACAGCAGTGTAAGATGTAACCAATTTTCCTTTGAATAATTTGAGAAAATGGCGGGGTTCATTGTTCTGTGTGGTACGCACCAATATTCCATCGAGCTCCAGCGCCAAGGCCAAGCCATCCTCGAACGCACGTTCCTTTACAACTTCTGTAGCTTTAACACCTTCCCACACGTAGATAATCGTGCCTGATTCGCCGTTCTTGTTATTATACTTGTAAACAATTACATAAGCGGCGAATCCCAACAACGGCATTTTCGGTGTCAGTGAAATAGCATTTCGTAATGTGTCTCCACGTCCGCGATTACTAACATATTGTACCGCTTCTACAATGTCATTTTCACCGTTATCGGGCATAAAGCCAATAGCACTACCTCCGCTCTTTTTGAGTTCTTCAACATCGGTAAGTTCGCTTAATTCCGAGTCGTCTGAGTCATAACCCATGGCAGAGCGCACCAAACGTGTGTGCGACATACCTACATCGCGCCAAGTGGCGAAATATTGTTTGAATGGCGCAGATTCAGCGCCTTCGACCACGCGATGAACTTGTGTCCAAGCGGGGTATTTTTTGGTGCTTAAAAATTCTTGTGCCTTGCTCAAGGCATCCGTTTTTTCTTTTGGTGTCGAGCGACGGCCCACCCAAACGTAAATGCCGGAACCAGTATCCAAAATAAAACAGTCGTTGGTGTCTAGCATTTCTTGACGCAAAGGCTTTGTGGCAATGGGATCGATTTTCAACCCACCACGTGCATCTGATACTTTATATAAAGACACCGAGTTCGCATCGGCCGTCTCAAAAGCACCGTCCTCTTGCTCAGCAGCCTCGTCCGGTACTTGGTTTGGTGCGCCTGAGCCTAAAACTTCAAAAAAGTGCTGCTTGTCCAAATCCGAGCTGAATTCATCTAAAAAAAAAACAATGTTTACATATATAATATATTTAATAATTAGATATGAAATTTTACGGATGAATAATAATGCTTACCTGTTATTTCAACCCTGGCACGTCCGTTATGATCTTGATCGCGAATTTGATTCGCTGCGCTGATCGCTTTCAATTTCTCCACTCGCTTCGCTTGTGGTCCGACATAAACGAGAATCTCATTGCCGGCATCTAAAATGAAGCAATCACCTTTGTTCATCGACGACACGGACAGATTCACTTGACGAACACGCACGTTACGCTTGCCCTTCACCTGGAAGAGACGCTTCTCGCCGACTGCATTAGTCTCCACATGCTTGAAGCCGGTTCCAACGCCACCTTGCTCATAACGCACACCTGAAGACGACATAAGAGAATACAAATAAGATTTTTTAAGTTCATAGATGTGCGATATATGATGATGTAGTGACGAAAATATATATGATATATAATATTACAGATCTCAGAGCTTATAAATACTATATGCAAGTATTCTATTTGTTTATGCTCGCTTTGAAGTTAGTGCGGACCGAAACGAATACATCGTATATTTGTATCAATTATACTAGTGCATAAAAAGTTTTGCAGTAAATCAACGGGCAACTGTGGGGACCTACATAGGCACTCAGTGCTTGCATCCATTCCTTACATTCTTTACATGCGAGCATAGTTGTCTGTACTCACCGTTTCTGAAGTAACTGAGAAATAGCTGTGATTCGTGATCCTGAACTTCACGGTGCTGCACCGGTGCGCCATTAAGCTGGTCATCCAGCTGCACAGCATAAATAGCAGCAGCACCAGCCTCGTCGGTCGATGTTTCCGAACCCAACCAAAAGTGAATATCCCAGGAGAGTTTTTTGTCTTTGCGTTCGATTGTCTGGTAAATGAAGAGAAATTCCAAAGTAAAATAAATAAGTAGAAGCAAACAACTAGAGAAAGAAATATTGTAAAGAAGGGAGAAATGTATGAAATGTTATGGGAATGCTTTGCAGCTTTAGCCACCCAATGGACGATAGATGCCTGCAATATTTAATGTCTAGAAAAACTTTCTTAATTGTGGATTAATAGTTTTATTAACTTACATTTAGTACAATAAATGAGTCTCCGGTATAAAATTTACCATAGTTATTTTTGGGGTAAGCCACAGGTTCAAAGTTCTGAAAACAATGTAATATTTTAGTAAGCTCTTTTCGCCATAGATATTGGGTTAGAAAAGTGCAATAAAAAAAGTATTAGAACTCTCAGCGATACACTAAAAAAAATTTTTTTTTTTGAAGATTACTGGACGTCCTAACCAATTAGGTACCAGGAATTGTTCTAGAAAAAGTTAAGGTATTGAAACATATATGTAATTATTATTTCTATACAGTTAAGCTGTATAGATATTAATCTCCTACAGATAAGACAAAACCCTGCCTAGGTATTTAACTGATCTCTTATAAAATATGACGGTTTCAGTACATCTTGGATAATCTCATCGCCCATGTGATTCATACTATCTGAAATAAGTCCAATCGTTCTTATACTGCCTCTGTTTGGAGTAGACTGCATTTATCTTTCTTACAACTTCAGCTCAATAATGAATAGCTCAGCATAGGAAAAGTAGTTTTACCGGTTATGAGGACTTGCATTCCAAGTAACATTAATTTATTAAAGAAGGTTATGTCGGTTTTTATTATATATTTGAAACCTATAAAAATTACCGCTAATCAGCGGCCAGCATATGGTATAGTTGTAAGGGGGTTTTCAATAAGAGAGCTACAAAAACGGTTCGGGATATCAATGAAATTCTTTATTCCGGATAAAGTATATTCGATGCCATTAAGTATGGTACTCGATTTATTTTGCAGAAATCTTCACTGGCTTGTTGACATAGACCATAGACCATAGACAGGGCGCAGGCCCACAGGAAATAGTCTAACGGTGTCAAATCGCCGACCGGGGCAACCAAGTGACTAGGTCATTTCGTGAGATAATACATTCAACTTCCTTTCCAATGATTTCCAATAAATCGATTGTGACATTCGCTGTGTGGCTTGTGGCGCCGTCCAGTTGGAATCATATATTTCCCTAGTCCGTATCATCCAATTTAGGCCAAAAATATTCGATTATCATTGAGCGGTAAATGAGCGGTAAAATAGCGGAAATGAACCTCCTCGCTGAAGAACATTTTTCGATGAAAAGGCCAAGATCTTTTCGCAAAATTCGTGACAACGACGTCACGGAGATATCCAACACTTGAAAACGACGTGTGAGAGACTGATTTGGTTCTTCCTCAATTGATGCTACGAGCACTTCTTTATCTCACTGGCAGGGGAACATTTTGAATTGTGCCTGTGGATTCAAATTGTCCACTGGTCGCTCAATTGTTGATCTGACAGGGTGATTATAACAACTATAAAATGAATCTAACGCTGTTAAAGTTGAGGCCACTGACTACGCATTTCGGTAGTAAATTTCAATAATTTCGACTCGTTCTTGGTTCGTTCATCTCTCCATGATGAAATGGCAAACCGTGTTGAAGAGAATTGTCAAAAGAGCGTGGAAAAATATGGTGTCGTTTGCTGTTCCTATCGGTCTACTTTTGTAACGTCCTTATTGAAAAACCCTTTACCACGAAGTGACTTTTATATACGAAATGAACTACGACGAGATGAATAAAAGTTTTAGTAGAAGGATTGGATATAGTTTTCTTGTAAATTATATTATTTCCTTCGACAATGCATTCAGAATTTTGACCATCTTTTTTCTCCAATTTTTTTTATACACATGTATTTGTACATATTTATATGTATATATCACACAAGAAATGTTTAATAACATCGCATGAAATATTTTGATCACTCAAGCGAAATGTTTTGATTGAAAAACTTAATGAAGATGTTTTACAGTAAAAACCGCTTTCCGGTCATGAACTTATTTCATCAGTAGGTACTTTCTTTGAAGAAATCTTGTTGCATTTTTGATTGATCTTTTGCGGTTGTAATTCGCTTATCAGCAAAAACCAACATTGCCGATGATTCAAGAGCGTATTGCGTGTTGTTCATATTTTGCATAAACAAATCACTTTTAAAATTTTTTAACAAGCCGCGAAACACGCAACAAAACACAAAAACCGTGAAATAAATAAATCCGTACCGTTAAGTGTTATATGTATCAACACAAACACACATATATGCAAACATTCATAGCATAATTTTTGGGCTGAAACCCCTTTAACCGCCTAATGGTAACTCACCTCAATGCGCCAAATCTCCAAACCAGGCGCTCGGCCGGCATTGGCGAACGCACGATGCATGACGCTGCGACTGGGCGCGAATTTGTCACTTTGTGCCGGGGGCTGTATCACGGACGACTGCGAGCGGAAGGCTGGAGCGCCGGGCAGCAGAATGAACACAGCCAAAATGCTGGAAAATATTATTTATTATTGCAACAAAATGTGGCACGTATAAAACAGTTGTTGAAACTAATTACGACACATTAACAAACATTTCAATAAATTAAACCTATTTTTAAAATTGTAAGTTTCTTAAGTCACTTTGTTTTTGCATAGACTTTATTTCTTTCAATAATGTCGGAAAAATGAGAAAAACGAACTAGTCGACTGAATTACCTGCAGATTACTGCCATCTTCGCTACCATTTTCGCAGCTCCTACCAAACGTAGCCTCAGTTACCGTTAAACCAGAGCTTGAATTTGATTTGTTTTAAAATGAATGATTTTCTGTTGTTGTAATTATATAAATGCTCTCTTTTCGGCACGCTCCACAATGCGATCACGCGATGCTTAATTAATTATTATCTCGGATATACCTGTAATGAGATGTAGATAACAAATTAAAAAGTAAGGAAGGGCTAAGCTCGGAAATAACCGAACATTTGATACTCCTGCAACTAGCAAGGATTAAAGCATATGGCGAATTTTCACCCGATTTTATTCATTCTATTCAGAAATATGCACCGTTATAAGAAATGAACTCTCTCAATTTTATTAAGATAACTCACATATTGGCCGATATATGCAGTATAAAGTCACCTGGAAACTCGAAATTAGTTGTATTAGGTATATGGTATCTAAGGGATGTATTCAAACCATTTTTTACACAGAGATATTCTACCATTAGAAAAGGATTCAATGTGAATCTCAATTATATGTCTGACAAATTGACCGAAGTTTTTTATCCGACATATATTTTCAGATAGGAGCGCATTTGTAGGAATTTTTTAATAGTAATTGACTCCCAAAATTTTAATCTTGATTTTCTCGAAACTTCGTTTTCAGAGTCACCGAGGAAAATTTTTCCGGAACGGGTGGACCTATCGGATTAAATTTTGACGAACCTTTTTTTGAGTGTTACGAAAAAATCAACCTTTTGGCTGGTCCTTCGATTATGTATTTATCTATTGCAATAATTCTTTTGGTTTTTGGATTTAAGGTAATTTCTAGCACAAAAATCTGCATCAACCTCAGACATACATACATATGTATGTGTTCTTAAGAAAAATCACAAAAGAAGTACTTTTTCTGACTTGCAAATGGATATATGTATATATGTAACTGCTTAACATAGAGTCACTTGATAACGACAAAGGGTCTAAGCCGAGGGGGGTTTCAAACTAATTGTTTCTCCTATCTTCATACATAAAATAAATCATTTAATGAAGTGCGATATTTTTCAATATCTTTCCTTAGCTTCCTTTTAATTTATTTAATGATGTATTTGTTTACATTTTTTTTATTTCCATCAAGCTTTTTTGTATGTGTCATTTGAAAAAAAAAAAAGATAAACATATGTTATTCTTTGTTTAAATAACATGTTTTTTGTTTGCTTATATTGCAATTTGTGCTTTGAACATATAATATGAAAAAGTGTGTGTAAAGTTTATTTTTCGTTGACTGACATCACTTCTCGCAAATATAAAACTTATATTTGACTATTTTCTTAAAAACATTGACATTCTTGTACACATATTTTATTGAGAATAGCATCCCTCATAGATATACATACATACATAWGTATAAGATATTGCGAACTGACACCGCAAAGTTATGAAATACGTGTGAACTTCGTCTAATTGTTTTGAAATTTTTATCTTTGTACCAAACTAATTTTTCTATTTCGTCTGCTGCCTATTCATCCCTCCGCCTTAATATTTAAAATAGCCTTGCGCTAAACAAAAAGGTAAGCAATAAGCACGTAAATTATTTAGCAGTTAAGAAATTGAAACAAGGCTTGGTAATACCTTGTAAGCACTGAGCCGTGAGTGAGCTCGTCAATCATCTTTAAGAAACAAAAGAGCAAGCATAACATAGATATGTACATATGTATATCATTGGAAAAATCAGAAACCGAAAGAAAGCGAACTTGTCAAAATTTGTAGCCGCATAACAAGCGTCATAAACAAAGCTTAATAATTTCAATGCTCATGTTTTTATTTGTACTACATATTACAGAGACGACTATTCATGAAACCGATGTCAACGTATACCGCAAAGCATTTACTACGTACTTGGCACTGACACTGTCCTCCAGTGTACATACGAGCTCATACACATATTAGGTCATGCCAGTAGTTGACTAATCATATGTACAGCACTGTCGTTTTACAATTTCTTGCCGGCAATTGAAAATAATAAAATATACGCTAAATAAATATATATAGTATACTAATCATTGCATATGCATGTAAATGTACATAAATATTCCAATGTACATAAATATTCCAATGTACATAAATGCCTACATACATACATAATTTTAATATATAATGAGCATTCTTATTTATAATTAAAAATTTTAAATATTTTTATTTTTTCATATGTACGTATATATTTATATGTATGTAAGTATGTAGATTTAATTTCATTCAAATTAAAAAATAAGAAATATTTAAATTGCAGGATCACGACCCTAAGATTATTTTCGAGTTAGTCCGCGATAAGTCTAGTTCTGGAAAAGTATTGAATTTGGTGCGTCAACAATCCAAAAAAACAAGATTAACTACTAAACAGTCTTAATGAAATAATATACAAAATTAAATATTGAAAGAAAATAGTGTGCTCTGAGTAAAATATAGTAAAAATATTAACTTTTATCTCAATTGCGAATGCAAATCTTAGATATAAATACTTAAAACATAGTATGATTTACCGTAAGCAGGGCTCTAAAGCGCAGAATATGTTTTTCTAGAGGCAAACTAAGAGTTGAAATTCGCTATGCAGTATTAAAAAGCTACGAGTATTGTCTAAAGTACAAACACACAAGCAATAAATATGCAAATACTTTCACCACACACAGAAAGAAATGCATAATTTAACTCTTTCTTTGTTTGATAGCAAACAATTTAGGATTTTTGATGTGCCTTCATATTTATACATACTTATATGTGGCTACGTGTGATTTATTTGTATGTACATACAATATAATTCACTTATTTACATTTATATTTAAGAGCATAGTCTAATGAAGTCGAACTCATATACAAATGTTTCGGCAATAGTTCTCTACATCGAAGTATATTAATTTCACTTTGATTAGCAATGAATCACTACAAAGTGGCATTTGCAATTATTACAAAGAATTTTATATGTATATCGCATTTGTTATTATTTTTCAAACTTCGAAGTGAAGTAAAAAAATTACGTACGCAAGTAAAGCCAATTACTGTCACTCAAGCAGGAAACCGCATAAGATTTACCGGTGGCAGTCTCTGCTGCTGAACGACTTATTTTGTATACATACATATGTATATTGAAAAACAATTGAAAGTTGTCTCAATTAAACCTCTACAGTATTATTTTTTCCTATTAAATTTATTTTCCCCCATATTTCAACTTCATTGCGTTCTTGATATTCCGACATTTCATACTACATATGTAGGTATGTACAAACAATCAATTAAAATTTTAAATAAGCGCAAATCGAACAAAAGTCTTTCTAAGTTCTCCAAGTGTGCGGCATAATTACTTCCAAAGAAAATTGTTCAATTTGCGCCAGAATGAGTATAAATTGCTCACACCCTCAATCCTTTGCTTTACATACCTACATATATTATATACATAAGTATGGACTTGGCTACTATTTTTTTATTTATTGTAAGTTCTATTAGCTTTTATTGAGCTGACAAGTGGTGATCTGTACAATAAGCAAAAAAAAACTTTGCTAAATGCGCAAAACCAATATTTTTTTTTAAAGACGGGTTCAATTACTCTTCACTATAGTATACGGTACAACTTAAAGCATTGCAGATAGATTCTAAAATATTCGTATTCGCTTATTTTATTAGCTTAAACCATTTGTTTATATAGATGAATTATGTATTATGTACGCATATTGATAGGCACCAACAGATTTCTTCCGGGCATAATTAGCGTACATAAATAATCGTCAATAATACATGCTAAAACTTCTTTAAATCACAACACACATCTCAAATATATACCTTTTCCTACAAACGGTTCCCACAAAGCACTCGCGATTTTTCGTCTATTTTAAAATCGTGTTGTATTTCTTTGGTATTAAAAAAATTGACTTTTACCTCTGGCTGATAACGAGGTACTGAACTGTTTATATACTCTGTAGCTGTTTATATTCAATTTTGAAATTCGCCTATTTTAAAGCTATTCTCTCTCTCTCGCTCAATCAATGCGTGCTTTAAATTAAATTCATTTATATGGATTTAACTTCAAACAAATGGAATCTCTTTATGCGGAGAACTTTTAGCGCTAGTAGATGAATCTTGCCTTAAGCGAGACTCAGTGGTGATAACAAAAAATCATCATCTGAGAGCAAAATACGCTTATCAATCGCGCTGCGATGACTTATTATTTCTGAGAACCTACGGATTGATATGAACTTTCATATATTCAGTTAATTATTGTTGTATTTATGTACATACATATTTCCCCTCCGCCGAACCGTAAACCACTCTTGGTCTGTTGACAAACAAAGACGTTTTCTAAGAATTGTTATTAATTCACACGGCTTTCTTATCAATTAATTCAATTTGACACAGGAATGTCCCATACGTCCTATAGATATTTTTAGTAGAGGAATTTCCGGCAACATAGTTAATGAGCTATGTGCTAATATATTTATAAGTACCACTTACATACACTATATTTATATAATAAATTTAATAGTCAAAACTGTATATAAAAGTATACATTTATAAAACCATCAGTTCGAAACCGAGCCACTGTGTGAAACTTAATAATCTGCAGCAGTATTTGATAAATAATCCCTGCGTCCAATATTTGAAGCTTGTTTGCTTTGCACAGCTTCTAGCTTTGGACATTCAGTGATACGATGACCCAAACCTCCACAATAACTGCAACCATGTGAATCGCCAAGATCCAAGTAGTTTTCTGCCTCTGGGCACAGCTCATTGAGAAATTCGGGTACTTTTTGCTTAGCTTCGATTAATAGATGTTTCAAATCCAGTAACACAGATTGTTCGGCAGTTTTATTGATGAATGTGGTGGCAAGTCCTTTCGTATTCGAACGTCCTGTACGACCAATGCGATGCACATAGTTTTCTACGTCGTCGGGCATATCATAGTTGATGACATGTTGCACATTTGGGAAATCTAAACCTTTTGAGGCAACATCGGTAGCAACCAGCACGTCCTTTTTACCCTCACGATAAGCCTCGACTGCACGTGAACGCTCTTCTTGATCCTTACCACCATGAATTGCTACAGCTTCAACGCCTAAAAAATACCCATTATTATTGTATAGTTTACCGTCATACAAAATAGCAAAAAAGAAAATCATTGAAAATTACCTTTCAGCAGAAGATATTCATGTATGCAATCGACATCCTGTTTCTTCTCAGCAAATATAAGCACTGGTGGTGCAGTTTTCTGCAGACAATCCAGCAGGTGTACCACTTTCGCCTCTTGTTTAACATACTCTACTTCCTGTGTCACATTCATCGAAGCCGCACCGGCACGTCCCACATTGATAGTTACCGGTTTTACTAAAGCTGAGCGGGCAAAATTTTGTATTTTCTTTGGCATAGTAGCGGAGAAGAGTAGTGTTTGACGTTGTCCACGGAAGAAAGAAAATATAGTACGTACGTCTTCTTCGAAACCCATGTCTATCATACGATCAGCTTCATCCATACATAAATAACGGCATATATCTAGAGTGGCCATTTTCTTTTCCAGCATGTCCATTAGACGACCTGGTGTCGCAACCATAATGTGCACACCTCTTTGTATAACTTCCATTGCGCTTGAAACTGGTAACCCGCCAATAGCCAAACAAGCACGTATTTCCGGCATACCACATTGTTGTAAGTGTTTACTGTAGTGCTGCAATATTATTAGAAAATATAAATTAGTATTCATTTCGTTATATATAATCATATGGACATACCATAATAATATCGTACGTTTGTTTCGCCAATTCGCGAGATGGACAAATTATAAGCCCATAAGGACCCTCATTTCTTTCGAAAGGCAGTCGATATTCTTGCTCTAATGCAAACATTATAATAGGCAACACAAAAACTAGTGTCTTTCCTGAGCCAGTAAAAGCGATACCAATTAAATCGCGACCAGAAAGTACGGCCGGAATGCCTTGAACTTGAATTGGCGTCGGCTTTTTAATGCCCTTTGCAGACAACCCGTTTAGAATGCCTTTAGGAAATTTCATTTCACGAAAACTGCGTATGGGTGGTGCTACATCATCACCTTCAACAAGTATTCTTAAACGTTTACGTATCGCATTTCGGCGCTCTTCTGTCATAACCGCCAGATAACGTGGTGGACGCCAACTAGTTTTGATAGGGTCTTCATACTGAATACCTTTAGCCAATTCAGCAACACCCATTAAAGCTTTTTGTTGTGTCACACTCTCCAAAATCTTCTCCTCTTCCTTAAGCTGTTTTTCCACAGCGCTTATCTTCTTTGCCTCAGCGATTTTTTTTAATTCCGTATGTTGATCCAGTAAACTGATATTATACTTACGCCCCCATAACTCGGCTTCATTAGCACCTTGGGACTCTTCGTCCCCTTCATTTTCACTGGAGGATTTCGGTTGTGTTGATGCTTCCGAGGCGAGCTGTACAATTCTGCCAAGTTTCATTAACTGCTGTTTTTTACGCTCTTTAACAGGAACATAAGGTACATAAGCATCGTCTTCGTCATTATCTGAATTGTTTTCATTTTCCTCGTGACGATATCGTTTAGTTTGTGGAACTTCTGTCATTTCTCCAACTTGTTTACAAATTTTTTAACATAAATGTTATTCTGAGCAGATATTTTTAGATTTTATACTTTGCGAAATTCGCGTCTTCACTTTGACATCTATTAACGGTGATGCCAGATATATTTTATCTAGAGGGTTACCAAGTCATCGAATTTTAAAACCTGTTCCCAGTACACGTAGTAAACTTATATCTTAATGTTGTCTAGATACAAGTTTACTAATAGCCCTGACAGACGACAGCGACAATATGCATTAGTGGGCTTAATTTACATTTACTTGCGCAATTGACCCATCTTAATGTAAGTTTGTAATGAACAAGATTTTCGTGCATTTAGCTGAATTTACCAAATTCGAGTAGGCAACACTGCTCAAAAATGGTAAATTTTTGCTATTTTTTGACAGATGTCACTTGAAGTCTACTGACTCTTTGCGTTTACAGCATCAGAAGTAAGCAGTTTTATATTTATATTTATTATTATTAATATTTGCTTTTAATTTCACTCTATTATATTTGGATGGAGTTAATAATAAACTAATTTTTTCGTTAAATTGATAAGGATTTTCGAAAATACCAAAATTTCTATTAATAATTTATCGTTTTTGTTTTACTGTTTTTTTTTTTAAATAAACACATTTCACTATCAGCTGTCTAAATGCCATAAAATTTCAATGCGCATTAGTGTTGCTTAAGGCGCATTAATTTTGCTCGTTTGCCAGGGCTATAGACGGTTTCTCCTGAATCGATTAAAAACAACTAGCTATTTTTGATGTACATATATTAATAAAAATTAGCAGTCCCTAAAAAAGTTTTGTGAGCATATTGAAAAATAGTTCAGATTTTTTCAAATATATATTTAAGAATTCACAACTCAAAAAGTAGCCACTATTGCAGTAAAGCCATAACCTACATTATGTTGTGACATGTGTTGCCACTTAAAGCAATTATCCTTACGAAATGTAAAACAATAATTTCGCTAAATATGGCAGCTTTGAAGGATGTGTAGTTTGGCATTTCATTTCACACATACTTCATAAATTTTTTTATTTGCTTTGTGCATCGTGTTGATAAAGATTTTTTCCGCGGTATAAATATTTCGTTTTTCCAGTAAAATATACATTAATTACTTTTATCTCCGTGATTATACATCAAAAAATAAAGATCCAAAATGGCTATGTCAAAAACAACAAATACCTATAACAGGCAAAATTGGGAGGATGCTGAATTTCCAATTCTGTGTCAGACATGCCTTGGCGACAATCCTTATGTGCGGATGATCAAAGAACGTTTTGGTAAGGAGTGCAAGATTTGCACGCGACCCTTTACTATATTTCGATGGTGCCCTGGAGCGCGTATGCGTTTTAAGAAAACAGAAATTTGTCAAACATGCGCTCGTCTGAAAAATGTATGCCAGACATGTCTGCTGGACTTGGAATACGGACTGCCGATACAAGTTCGTGATGCTGCACTTAAAGTAGCCGATACCATTCCGCAGAGTGATGTAAACAAGGAATACTATATACAAAATATAGATCGCGATTTAGCCGATGGTGATGGTACTGAGGCTGCAGGTGCTGTTGGTCGTTCATTGGCCGCAAACGAGATGTTGGCAAAACTTGCACGTACTGCTCCATATTATAAACGCAATAGACCACATATTTGTTCATTCTGGGTCAAAGGTGAATGCAAACGTGGCGAAGAGTGCCCATATCGTCATGACAAACCAAACGAACCCGATGATCCACTTTGTGAACAGAACATAAAAGATCGCTATTATGGGCGTAACGATCCGGTTGCTGAAAAAATTATGAAACGGGCAGCTACTTTGCCCACACTGGAACCACCAGAAGATCGAAATATCACAACTTTATATGTGGGTAATTTGCCCGAAGAAATAACAGAACCCGAATTGCGTGACCACTTCTATCAGTATGGCGAGATTCGATCTATTGCTTTAGTGCCACGCCAACAATGTGCATTCGTTCAGTATACGAAGCGTGGAGCAGCCGAACTAGCAGCTGAACGTACTTTTAACAAATTAGTGTTGCACGGACGTAAATCTACAATCAAGTGGGCACATTCCCAAGCAAAACAGACTGGATTAGCAAAAACAGATAGACGATTTGATGTGCCTGCCGTACCGCCAACTCCTGTGGCAAATCCGAATGATTTCTTCAATCTTCAGCAAGAACAGGTCACCGTGTTACCACCTGGTATGAAGCTACATCAAATACCACCAAGTCTTATACCTGCGTCGTCGTATCAAATGTATTCACAGGCTTACGCAGCCCCATACTCAAATATTCCAATCCCATCTACCTCCGGCGCGGCTTTGGACGCTATTCCTTCACCACCAACTGGTGGTGCACCAGGCCAAGTACACTACCCTAGTCAGGATCCCAGTCGTTTGGGTGCAGTGAAAAAGTAACAGTAATAACTTTAATACAATTTGATTTGTATACCTTCATAATATTCGTTTAGAACATTTTGAATAAAAAGAAATTTATTTCAATAATTCGTCATTTTTATTATAAAAACAAATTTATATGTATATTTATACTTGGTTGGGAGGGTGCAGGGCAACGAGCTACAACTTCCTAAATCTAAATATCTAAATCTAATTTTTCAGTGTGTTCTGGATAGAAACGAGCTTTCGCGTCTGGAACTTGTACAAAATACTTATCGATATAGCTGGGGTTCTTTTTTAATAAAATTTCACTCAGAATTTGCTCGTTGGTAATAGTCTTCTTAGATATAACCAGACGGCGTTCTGCATCTTTTCCATGGCTAGTTGACTTCAAATTGAATTTTCCAGCAATTCTAAAGTTCGAAAATATAAAAATAGGTTTCGAAGTAAAAATTATAAGAACATCTTACTCATGTAGCATTGCCCGTTCTTCCTTCGTGAAAGATGGCTCAAATTGCAGTTCACGTATGTCTTCGGATTCGAGATAATTCTGTAATATCTGTCTGAAATATTTGCGATCTAGTTTACAAGCCTCGTTCCCGAGACCTGCGCGATTATTCTTTAGCAAGTATCCTACTGGCTCTTCACGGCCTTGTGTTTTAGAGCCTAAACCACCACCAGTCCAACCCATTAATTTCATCATTTTATAGCCTTTATTAGACGCATCTAACTTTTTATCTTCTGCGTTGTCTGCCTGTTGTTTGACAACTCCACAAACGATCTCATTATTGGATTTATTGATTTTTATTGTATCACGCATTGGATTTGGCTAAGAAGTGAATTTTCAGTCATAATTACGGTATAATGTTACGCAGTACGTTACCTTTATTGAATAACATTTATGTTGCAGCACATCTAAGGCATTGTTGAAAACTTGCGCCTTTGCAGCTTTTACGTTTTCCTCGCATGCATCGCTTACCAATTTTCCATTTAAGAACATATTAATTTTCCTAAAAAATTTCTTAGATTATTTACTATATAAAACTAACCAATTTACAACGTACTTTGTATTGTTTGGGCCTTCGACTTCCTTTTCTTCATATTCAATATTACATCGCTGTGCAGACATACGCACGCAACTGCGCCCACCAATTAAAAATAATACAAATTTACCGAACGGTAGGCCTTCAAAGAGATTATTACTCTTATGCATGCTAGATAATTTGCTGTTATCAGAATTATTTCTATTAAGATTTTGTTGCTGTCCTGAATGTCCACCCGACCTAGCTGCAATTGTTTATGGTTATGGGTATACAAAGAAAATAATATTTTATTGGACTATATTCTAGACAGCAAGTACTCACATAAATTCTTAAGACTAAAACGTAATTTTGAGTTTGTAGTTTTTTATCGTCTACCTTTGACGCGTGCCTCAGCTGCTTCTGAAGCTGCCACAAAAGTACGCTTAAGTCGCGTCTCTCGGCTTTTCCTATAATCTTTTACAACTTCTTTCGACAACTCGGCCACCAGTTGCATGGTTTCAGATGGATATCGGCAACCCATAAACTCCATATTCGTAAACACTGCAGCAAGGCACACAAGGCGATCTTCCGGGAATTTATCTTTATGCAGCTCCATAAAGTGGCGTCTCATTTGCCAATGCTCGTCACTTTCATGATCAGCGCGGTAGTAGTCAATATCCCAGTCCGTGGGGAATTCTTCATTGTTTTTAATATTCTTGGATGAACTCGCCATAAAATATCAGTTAAAATTTACAGTTTTTATATTTTGGTCAGAGCAATGAAAATGCGGCTAGAAAAAATTGGGTATAAAGAAAACATGAAAGAACCACATGAAGCATTTTGGCTGTGTTCACTTTACATTCCGTGCTGGGTAAGTCATTACTATTCAACTAAAGGCCCATTCACATACAACTTTGCTCGGCTATATTACGATTCTTTGGGCGCCGCGATGTGATGATACCGATGGATAAAGGAGGTACTCAGGATTAAAAAATGTATACACATATACCCTCCTCAGACTCATATTTTTCGAGATCTTTCTGTTTAAAGTTCAAAAATTTGTGAAAACAATGCTCGTTATTTCACTATGTTCAACCCACTTTTCACATATTTTTCAATTAATATATATTTAATTACACTGTACACTTTCAAACATATCAAAAATTTGCAATATTTGTGTATTTTTTAAGAAAATAAATATATTTTAAAAACTATTTTGCACAAAACTTTCAAGAGATTTGTGTGTTTACATTTATGACAAATAGAAGTGTTGCCGTACTTGTACAAAAGCGTACATATAACTTTTCATCGTAAGCAGATGTCAGACGTTAAACGAAACAAAAGTTTTTTTTGAATCTGCCATAAAGGTTCTCACATAACACGCGATTGTATTGTTAAACTTATAAATTGTAAAATGTTAATCAAACTCATAATACTGATGTAATGAAGGGATAAAATTTATTATTTTAAAGTTAATACTCTAAAATTTTGAATACTTTCCAGTTCATTGCTAAGAAATATTAACTCAAGCAATTATTTGCAACATAGCAACCCAGCGGCAAACGGATTGTGAACCCAAAAGTAAATATGTAAACATTTTTGACAGATCAATATTACGGAAAAACTAAAAAACCAAAAAGTTACAAGTGTTTTTGTTTATAAATGTGGTTACAAAATAAATGATATTTTAAATAAACTTGTATAATTTGGAACGCTATTATAATAAAACACATACTTTATTTATAAACATATTGTTTTGTGATATGAGGTATTAAAATATACTCTTCATTTGGTGTTCACGAATTATAAACTTTACAAGCAAAAGCTTTAACATGGATACTGCTGTTCTTGTAAATGTTGAAAACTTCATTCAACCCCAAAAACCATTAGTAGCTCATCAGGTAATGATATAAAATTGATAAAATATTTATTGTTGGAAAAATTTTATTATGTATAATACCTTTAAAGATGTATGTGACCGAGATTCCGGACATGATTGTCGTAGAAACAAGGTTTATAACACGTCAAATGGCAGAAGAAGAGGAAATATTAATGCCACAAACATTGATACTTTCTTCCGAAAACATTAATATACAGGAAAAACCTCAAAATGGCGTTTTTCATAAAACCAAAGATGCAGGCGTTTTGGCAGAAGTCGACATTGCTCATAAATCTATTCAGACTAATAGCCATAACCCACTACGAAATCGTGAACAGCAAACCATTAAGTTTTTTAATCAAGAAGATATAGGCATCCAATGTGATATTGAAAATGACATAGACAGTGAAATATTGCTAATGGATAGTAATCCACTGGAGGAATGCGAAACCGATGAATATCATTTATTTTTAGATTTTGTGGAAAAAAATACCTATCTCTACAGGAATAACAAACAAGAATGCATAGTGTGTGGTGAAATTTGTTCTAATTCAAAACAAACACTATCACATATGGCAACACATTGGGGTCCGCCGGCGCTTTGTGAACTTTGCGGCCAAAATTTTGAACATGCAAATCTGTTAATAATGCATAAATGTACCAACAAAGCAACAAAGAAATATATGAACCGGTTTTTTAAACAATGCCCGTTATACTCATGTGGAGTAATTGTTAAATCAAAAATGGATTTATATGATCATATTAAAGAACACTTGGGTTTGCCTACCTACCGGTGTTTAGGCTGTAAACAGAAGTTTAGAAAAAGAAAGGAGCTACTACATCACTCAACAGTACAAAAAAAGTGTTTGCCAAAGTTCTGGCGATTACCTTTGTTCCAAAGAAAATTAAGTCAAACAAAAAATGGTAAACTTCGCCGAAAAAATAGTTTAAGCATTACAAACAAACAACATTTAAGACTGTATCTTCGAAAAAAATTGCGTTGTCATATTTGTTTACTTAAATGTTTAAATGTGTCTATATTTGCAAAACACCGTAAAAGATGTGTAAAAAAATTTAGTGAAAGGTTAGAAAAGTTGAAATAATAGATAATTTATGAATTCATCAACTATGATATGCTAGGCTATGATATTTAATTCCAAATAGTTTATTGATAATCATAGGTATTTATTAAATAAAATCCATTTACGCTTTATATGTAACTTAAACGTTTTTTGTTTTACTTTTATTCGTTCCTCAGAAGATTTTAACGATCATTACAAATGTACAATCTATACATCCCAAAAAATTAATTAATATTTTATGACTAGGCTACGCCATGCGCTTTGCTTATACCTTCAAACAACTGGCGTTTCTCGGAATTGATTTCCTTAATTGTTTGTGTTGCTAATTCCAACTGAACTTTCTTAAGAGCATGTTTACTGATGTAATCTTCTATGAAGGGTAAGCACAAGTCGTCTAGTTCAAAATCAACTTGTGTTTTGCCAATAGCCGATTGTATATCCTCTTTAACGTCACTCGATGCACGTTTTAGTGCCTTTTCAAGCTCCTTCAATGCCAAATCTTCTTTAGGCTTAATTTCATCAATTTGTTTCAAAATATTTTTGTAATTCGGTTCCATATCGTGTAACTTATATAAGAGTGCAATGAGTTCGGCTGCATTTTGCAGATAATCCCGTCTCACCATATCGTAAAGTAAATCGTCAATGCAACGATGCCAAGCAAAGAAGAATGTCATTGGACCAAAATGTCTCGTAGAACGTAAGTCATCAAATTGCTTGGTTTCGTTGATGTGTTGATATACGCGGCTGCTAATAGTGTGGAATTTGGGTTCGAAGGGGTCAAATTGCACTACCATACGATTCAAAATGAATAAATATTTTTGTTCATCCAAACAACGTTGTAAATGATCGTCTTCAAACATACGTGGAATACGAATACTACGTCCAGTAAGTGGAAAATATAATTGATGCATTCGTTTAGTTATCTCCATTGGTGCGTGTTCTAGCGTGCCGTCCGTTTGACGCACAACAACTTTTCGTTCTGTCTGTCGTAATCCGTATGTTATATCTGTAATAACATATTTTGTGTCTGAGAAGCAGCTTAACGCACTATCGTTGGATATGATTCGCCGTTCATCCTTCTTCATTTGTACGACAGGGGGCATTTGCAAGCGTTTTTTCGCACGTTCAATACTCTTACGAAACTCATCTTCAAGCATGTCTATCGTCATGAGTTTGTAGTCCACCGAGTTGTCTGGCACTGTTGTCTTCTGAAAAATTTTTTCGAGCTGTAGTTGTGTCATGGACTGCAGGAGCTTTTGTGTTTCAGGATCGGTGAATTGTGGTTGTGGATCTCGATCATAAAGTAAAGTTGCAGAGGCTGTGCCCGTATTCCCAGTTGAATAGGCTGCTCGTTGCAAAACATGAGAGCTCGCTCGCAATTTAGCATAATTATATATTTGACGCAGGAACATTATCGTATATATTTTTGGTTAGAAATTTAATTCACTTTTTTTGAAGAAAGTACGAAGCCACAAATTTCTCTAATTTGTTAGAAACAAACAGCTGTTAACTCATTGCATGCGACTGATTACAGGCAAAAGATGTAAAACTTATATCGTGTTACAAAATTAATCGAATATAAAATCGCAATCAATCGATATTAACGTAAAATTACTTTTTAAGAAAACTTGTTAACATATTTTTAACCTTACTAGCTAATACTAAGCAAAGTTACAAATTATGTAAATTATTGAACATAAATATATAAATTTAAAATAAATGTAAATGTAGTACATAATAACGTTGAATAAAATATAGTTAACATAAATAAAACACAAACGAATGATGTCATATTTGCTGAATTTATTTTAAATTATTAATTTTATTTGGTTTTAAGATTAATTTTTCGTAAAAATATGGAGCCTCGTATCTGAAGCTGTATTTCGTGTTGATCATATCTTACTATGCAGTCTGTGATCACCCTAAATTTGCTCCGTATTGTTACCGATAGTTCCATAATACCATTTTGCACACATCTCCAATTGTTTTTAAATGGTAAACTAAATTGTTGGTGCCTTCCAACAAACTTGCAAAAAATACTATAGAAAATGGATTCCGGGACTGACGAAAAAACATCAGAACTGCAAAATGATCTCCCTGAGCAAAGAATACAACGAAAACGTCGCCATACGGATGGCGTAGACCAACAGAACGGTGACACTGCATCTAATACGAATTATGGGGCCGTGGCGGAGTATATACCTGCTGCAAAGCTGCGCGGTGTTGTTGAATACAACAAAGTTGGTATCACAGATTTTCCGGACGAGCTGCTTTACGAAATATTTAAAAATCTAGACTCCTGGTCGTATTACGTACTTATGCAGTAAGTATGCCGGCTTCTTATTTATGACATACATATGTATGTTCATATGTCGGTTTCTATGTCATTTCAGCTGCTGCAATCGTTTTTATACTTTATTGATGGACCGACGGTTTTGGCACCATATAGATCTCAGTCAAAAACTATTACCATTAGGTATACTTGAATTTGTAATGGAACGTACGCATCAAGGGACTACAAGCATAAAATTGAGAGGTCCATCTAGAAAATATACAAGTGCGGAAATATTGAAGTTTAATAAAACGTTGGCGGACACTTTCGCTTTGCGAAGCACACAACTAAGTATTTTGGAATTACGTGGTGTTACAGTAGATCTTAGGAATGTAAGTAATTATACCGTGCACAGGGTATATTAAGTTCCCCACGAAGTTTGTAATGCCTAGAAGGGTACATCAGAGACCACAAAAAATATATAAAGATATAAATGATCAGGATGACGAACTGAGTTGATGTAGCCTGTCTCCCTGTCCGTCTGTCTGTATATATGCGAACTAGTCCTCCGTCCTTCAGCTTTAGATGTACCAATCTGAAATTTTGTACACTTCTGCCCGAGGAGCGGCTAATTTTTTGGATCACTTTAGTATATTTCTGCCTTACAAACTGAATATACAAAAAAAGTTCGTTTGTATTATTTTTCAAGGTAACGGTAAAATTTCCGATAAATTGTTCAGTTCGGATCATATGACATATAGCTGGCATGGAAACTTTTTATTTCAGAACATATTACTAACATCGCTAACATTTCTTATTCGTTTCTTTGTAGGTACGAATTGTGAATTTTCCGAAAAGTTTAAAGCGGTTAGTTTTTAAAGATTGTAATATCTGTAAGCCACCAGAAGAACAAACGGTTTTTTCGGGTATTCACACACACCTAGTGAATTTGGAGGTATGTGTATAAACTATATTATTATGCATTTAGGATTTTATTCATTCTCATCTTAAAGGAACTTGGTATTGAATTCTGCAGTTGGTTTGAACCTTATTACATCATGATGATATCCAAAATACCTTCACTACGTTGGCTTAGCCTCAAAGGTTGTCCACGATTGGGTGATTTTATACCGTATGGTAGCATGGCTGCTCGTTTTGGTTTTAAAAAACTAGAGGTGAGTATATATACTTACTACCATTTTTGAGCATTGCTATTAGCAACAAAATATTGTCTGAAATTTTCAGTACTTGGATTTGCGGTTTACACCTATAACCGATTCAGATGTTCAATGCTTTAATGTGGTGCTAACATTAAAAGAATTACTACTTGAGTGTCCCTTAAATATGCGTGCCAACGATACAAAAACTAGCTTATCGATCAAAAATAAAAGTAAAGATTCTGATAGTAAAGATTGTCAACCGTCCACATCGAAGGCATCAGCCGCACGCGAAGATAGTAATTCGCCTATTAATTCCATAACTGTGGATGCAAATTCAAATACATCCGGACAAGATGGACGTGACAATATAACCTCGGAGCAACAGGACCAACCAAATTGTGCTAGCCCACAACCCTCCACATCATCCTCTTCGTCTTCTACATCGTCCTCATCGCCATCATCTGCAATGAATTCACCCTTCGCATCACCATCGCGCTTAGCGCTAGACAATTCAACAGACAACAACAACGCGCCAGAACCGGCAGGCAATGTACCATCACGCAGCCGATTTTTACCGCGTCCAGATCAAGTTATATTCTTAGATTTTGTAAACCGCCGTCCCAGTATACGGCATGTGCGTCCACCGCCAATATCGGATAATCAAATCGATCAAATGATACAACATCCATTGTTTTGGAATATAATCAATCCATTGGGCGGACGTGAAACTAGTAGGTCGAGCTCTGGGTCAGGGCAAGTACCGCACTTCAGTCATCACCCATGCTGTCGCCAATATCCCATTTCAGATCGAGGAATTTGTTGCTTTGGAAGACCGCAAAATCCAGTGGAGCCTGGGGTGATTTGGATTCGTATTGGCAATCGTCCAAGCGAAAATAGCTTTGTAAGACTTAGTGTAAGAAATTATAAAAAAGTCACCGACATCTCACTGCATCATCTCGTGCAATGCTCACCTGAGCTCATATATCTGGATCTGAGTGGCACCAGCGTAACGCGTGAGGGCGTTAAACGCTTCAAAGCTGGAAAACCTGAATGCCAAATCATAGCCGATCATCTTATTGAGACTAACGACCCGGATATACCGACACTAGATTAATTCTAAAGTACATTTATACACATGGTGCTGTAATATTTATGCTAAACTAATATGCACACACAATACTACATACATATATGAGTATATGTATATTTCTCTTAACATAGTTAATAAGGACGCATAAGATACTTGTTGACATAAATTTTATTCAGAAATATTATTTTGAAAGTATATATACATACATACATATAAAATGCATATGCAGCGGAGAGATGTGTTTTCACAATGTTTAAAAAGATAGTGATAACAATAATTGAATAAATATAGGAAATAATAAGCTTAGTCCTCATTCGCCTCATTATTGGACGATTCCTCCTCATCGTCATCATCATCGTCGTCGTCGTCCTCATCGTCCGTATCCTCGGACTCGGAGTCCGAACTTTGACAATCGGCAATTTCGCCAGTGAAAAACATCACAGCCTTTGGAATTACGCGCTCCTTCAGATAGAAGCCGAGCTCAAAATCATTTTGTAAAATAGCCTAGTCATGCAAGCTAGTTGAATTATAGAACTGTTTTAATTATATGAATTACTTGCATTTATATCGCAATAGTTTGGATCCTCCGTGTCTTCGGGCAGTGTCGGCGGACTAAAGA